GGTAAGTGCTATTTTGCGCGCTGGACTTTTCTACGCGCACATCGAAATCACCAACCTTGTAACTTCTGGTAATAGAGATGGACGGTATGTGCCGCTGACTCTGACTACCTGAATGGCGGGGTTAGGTGCGCTCACTGTGGTCTCCTACTCCAGCTACACCCTTCTCTTTGACATGCCGCTTCAGCTCCTCCATCTCCGCCGCCATTCGCCGGATGACGGCGTACTGGTCCTTCAGCTTATTTTCCAGACGTCTGGCGTGTGAGTCTCTCCTCCGCCGGTGACCATCTGGACTCCGTGAATGACCATGACTTCTTCCGCGCTTATCCCGCGCGTCTCCCGACTGTCCTCCTGGGAATGTCTCCGAGTCCCCCATCGGAGTAATGGTGGGGTGTCCCTCTCTCCATCTGCCTGACTCCGGAGTGGCTCCATCGATGGCGGACAACGGAATCTCTTCGTTGTTCGCCATAGAAAGCGATCGGATGAGCTTGGAAGACAAGGTTTTATCTTTCAAAGTTCCCACAGACAGCGCCAATTGTGCGGGGAGCAAATATTCAGGCAAGCCCGCACTCCTTTCTTCCAAGCTCCTGTCTGTCCGATCGACCTGCGAGCACAACGGCGGTGAGCTACCCGGCGGTGTGTGGCCGGAAAACCCCTCCGACGATCAAGTTAGAACACACACACATCGGATAGATAGAGAGAAGGGAGAGTCTTGTGTTTAGTGTTTATCTCACCAAAAAATGTCCTGTCCCAAGCATGGGGGCGCAGATTTGCTTATATACCTTCTGCGTCCCAAATCTACTCCCAGTGACCTCTCGACACGTGGTTCTGCTATCCCATCTGTTAGCATAAACCTTGCTGAGCACCACCTAACCCAACTGTCTGCTCATTCTCCTAGGAGCTCAGCAGCCGGGCAGTACCATCTCGGCCATCGTCTGCCATGCTGCGCTTCCTGCCCAAGTACTCCAACAGCTAAGCTCAGATGAGGACCGGACTCGGTGGCATCTCGGCAAAGCCGAGCTCGGGACAACTCACGGTTGTCTGCGGTCGACCTACTTGCCGAGCAAACAGGTACCTTGGTCCAACCTTGCCTTTCCTGGTGCTGGACTTTTCACCTGACCGGCTTCGTAACCACGGATCCTTGCAGCTCGGTCAATCCACGCGCTGCCTTAACCGAGCAGCTTCCTTCAAGGCCGGGCAGATTTGCTTATATACCTTCTGCGTCCCAAATCTACTCCCAGTGACCTCTCGACACGTGGTTCTGCTATCCCATCTGTTAGCATAAACCTTGCTGAGCACCACCTAACCCAACTGTCTGCTCATTCTCCTAGGAGCTCAGCAGCCGGGCAGTACCATCTCGGCCATCGTCTGCCATGCTGCGCTTCCTGCCCAAGTACTCCAACAGCTAAGCTCAGATGAGGACCGGACTCGGTGGCATCTCGGCAAAGCCGAGCTCGGGACAACTCACGGTTGTCTGCGGTCGACCTACTTGCCGAGCAAACAGGTACCTTGGTCCAACCTTGCCTTTCCTGGTGCTGGACTTTTCACCTGACCGGCTTCGTAACCACGGATCCTTGCAGCTCGGTCAATCCATGCGCTGCCTTAACCGAGCAACTTCCTTCAAGGCCGGCCCACACAACTTGGCCCAACACCTGTTCGGCCCAAATCTGTCTGGCCCAATTCCAATCATTAATCTCCCTCTCATATCAGATTTACAATTGGAGGGAAGATTGGTAAAAATCAACGATGACGGAGGATGAATAGAAAAGAGAGAGAGAGAAAGGGCGGCGACGGAGGTGGCTGCGGGAAGCCAAGGTTAATTTAAATATTTGTGTCTCATAAATTATGCAAAAATTACATAAAAAACACTAATACAAATTCTTAAAATAAAATAACCAAAATATAGTTCAATAATAATAAAAAAGGAGTCTTTAGATTTGATTTGACTATTTGGTATGGTTGCTTAGAATTAAAAACTAATCAGGATTCAGTTTTCTGAATTTACTTTTTAAAAAATTAAAACTTATTATTTTTTGTAATTTTTTATTTTTATTAATTTTTTAAATATTTTAAGTAATTTTTATTTTTATTTTTAGATACACTTAACATAAATACACTTAAAAAATATAATATTTGTCAAAAAATCTTTAAAAAATTTACTAAATACCAAAAATATATCGTATTCTTGTATATTTATTAATTTTTAAAAATATTTTTTTATAAATATTTTACTTTTAGATACATTTAAGTAAGATGTATCTAAAAAAGTAAAAAAATTGTTTAAAATTTTAAAGATATTCACTAAAAATAAAAAAATAAAAAGCACAATTTCAAAAAATTGAATTTAAAAAATTGAAACCAAACACAGTTAATAATTTGACAAAAGAAGTTAAAAATATCCATCCCCTTATTTTTTAATAATTAAATTTCTTTAACTCATTTAAACTATATATAGGGTTGTTAACATATTAAACACTTGAATTCGACTCATGTTCGATTTATTAAAAACCCATTCAAGATTGAATTTATTAGGTAAATAAGTCAAGTTTGAATAACCTACTACCAAACTTGAAAATCTTATATGCACTATAAATAATCAAGTTATTAGAGTTCAACTCGTGTTCAACAAATTAAAAACTCATTTGAAATCTACTCGTTATGTGAACAAATTAAGTTTGCATATAATTTTAAACACGTTAAGTTATCAAATTAAATTTGAATAACCTATTATTATTCGACTTGATTTATTTTCAGTCCTAACTATATTTACCAAATATGCTATAAATAAAATTATATTAAACATTCTAACAGTTTCTTTTAAAGAAAATTATAATAATTTCATAAAGTACACTGAATAAAGACAACATCTAGGCCTCGTTTGGGAACAGGTTAATTTAGTAACTTTTTGGTTAATTGACTAAAAAGGTAGGTAAAAAAAACTGTTTGGGATGATTTTTTGATTAATTACGAAAAGTTGTGCAAAAAGTAGAGAGAAGCCGTAATTGTTGACTTTTTAGTATGACTAATTGGCTAATTAGTTAATTTAATAACTTTTTGACTAATTAACTAAAAAGATAACATCCCAAACGAGGCCTAGTCTCAATTAACCATTTTAAGCTTATTTAAACTATATTTATCAAATATCCCATGAATAAAATTTTTAAACATTCTAACATAATTTAAAGAAAAAATCATAACAATATCATAAATTACACAAAACAAAACCAACATCTCGTATCAACCAATAAAAACGACAAACCTATGTTTTGTCACAGCAAGCATTGTTTGTGTATTAAAGGTTTGACTCGTCTTTTCTCTCAACAGTCAGCCTATCTGTCTTCCCTATAACATCTCTGCTAAATTTTAGCAGCAACTTTTAATTTCTCAGAAGAGTGAAATAAAATCTCTGAAATAATACTATATGGGTGTGTTTGATTGGTGTTTTGTCACAGCAAGCATTGTTTGTGTATTAAAGGTTTGACTCGTCTTTTCTCTCAACAGTCAGCCTATCTGTCTTCCCTATAACATCTCTGCTAAATTTTAGCAGCAACTTTTAATTTCTCAGAAGAGTGAAATAAAATCTCTGAAATAATACTATATACGTATATTAATTAGTGAATTAATTAATATATTAATTAATGATATGATATAATTTAAAAAACAACAATGAGGCACCGTTTGGGAAGGTGGGTTGGAGGTTTTTTTGGCTATTTTAGCCACAAAAAACAAAATAGGCTATTTTAGCCATAACAAACAAAACATCACATCCAACCCATAATCATTACATTCTTCTCTCACAAAAAAACTCAAAAAAGTCAGAAAAGCCCTTCCCAAACCAAGCTTTTAAGCCCAGGCTAAAATAGCAAAAAAAGCTCAAAAAAGCCAAAAAGCCACAACCCACTTCCCAAACCGCGGAGGCTTGATAACACTCATTAATTTGGAGCACTAATGGACCACTAATGAGCCGTCGAAAATTCAAAAAAAAAAAAAAAAAAAAAACTTAAGGCCAAAATATCACATCAGTAAGTGAGACCCACTCGCTCCTTTAGTGCTCCCAATTTAGAGCTCCCAAATATTTTTCTTTAAAAAATTTATTATTTATAATGTGATTAATAAATAAATAAATAATAATATCATAATTAATATTAATATATTAATTAATACATTTAACATTGCGAAAGCTGGCTAGATTGGATGAATTTGTCTAGGGTTGAGCATGGTTCGGATTGGACCGGATTGGGATAAAATCAAGACCAATTCGTTATCTACGATTTTTGAAAAATTGGAACCAATCCAATCCGTTTAAATCATGGAACTAATCCGAACCAATCCATTTAAATACGGATTGGATCGGTTTAGGACCACGGATTCACATAATTAAATAACAAATATATATATATATAACACTTTAATTTCATAAAAATATAAACATAGCGCTATATCAGTTCTATAATAACAACATGTTTTTCTATAATAGTAACATACTGTTCTTGAATTTAAACAACCATAAAAAAATACAAACAAAAGTAATAAAATAAGATATTATACGGTTTTAGTTTTGAGTTTAGATTTTATATAGAATAAGAGAAGATACTATGGGAAATGATGTATAATAAAAATATAGACTATTTGTATACGGTCCGGATCGATTTCAATCTGAAATCGTAGGGTTCAATCCGAAACTAATCTATGGATTACAAATTTTTAATTTTTCAATGTAGAACCAAACCGTAAATTTAAAAAATCAATCTAAACCAATCGAATTAAAATAAACTGATCAAATTACGTATTTCACGAATCCCTTATTCAGTCCTAAATTTGTCCTCCAAACTATCAACTAATGTGGTGGTGTGGTGATAGACTGATAGTACACCAAATTACCAAACACGAGAATTCCTTCTTTCTCTTCCTCGAGCCCCCCTACCTTTTCTCTCTCTCTCTTTGGTTCTCCCTTCATTTTCTCTCCGCTAAGTTTAGTTAGTTTATTATTTTCTGGTATTTACAAGACTAATTAAACCCCTATTTTGGCACTTGTTCGGAGAACAAAGAGAAACCCAAGAACCAAACAAGAAAAAGAAAAGAGAAGAGAACTCCCATTCTGTGTCACTCACAGGCCTGAGCTCTCTCTCTCTCTCTCTCTCTCTCTGCGTGTGACCACTTCCATTAGTCCATTTTAGCAGATACCCAGCTTTACCCTTCTCTCTCTCTCTCTCTCTCTCCGTGACCGTCATTATTTCCCAGGAGATGAATGGTGAGATGGGTTTCTCTAAAAACTGTTTCCAAGAGCTACATTACTAGAGACCCACTTTATATGTATCAGTGTAAGAAATGGGTTGGTTTAATCCTTCTTTAAAAGCACCATTTTTCACTCTCTTTCTTTACAACCCCAGTGACCAAAACCCACAAAACCTTCATTTTGGCACAAGCCCCGCATCTTTGTTCACCCACATTCCTCCAAAAAAAAGCCCCAGCTTTTTCACTTTTCTCTCTAGCCCAATCTTTTAAAAGCAGAACCACCACTCTCAACTGAACTTAGCAAGCAAACAGGGATGGGTTGTGTTGCCTCTAAACTAGAGGAGGAAGAAGTAGTCTCTATCTGTAGAGAGAGAAATGGGTTTCTCCAAAGCTGTGTACCAGGGCTACCATTTTACTAGAAACCCACTTTATATGTATCAGTGTAAGAAATGGGTTGGTCTAATCCTCCTTTAAAAGCACCATTTTTCACACCCTTTCTCTGAAACCCCAGTGATCAAACCCACAAAACCTCTATTTTGGTACAAACCCCCCACATCTTTCTAATCACATTCCTCCAAAAATCCCACCTTTTAAACTTTCTTTAACCCATCTTTAAAAGCAGAACCACCAGTCCAAAACTTGGCAAGAAAAGAGGGATGGGTTGTGTTGCCTCTAAGCTAGAGGAAGAAGAAGAAGTTGTTTCTATTTGTAAAGAGAGAAAGCGTCAGCTAAAGTTAGCTGTGGAGAGAAGGTATGCTCTTGCAGATGCACATTGTAGGTACTGTCAAGCTCTGTATGGAGTCTCAGCTGCTATAAACCTGTTTGTTTCTCGTCATTCTTCACCCTCTTCACCATTTCTCATCACTTTCCCACCATCGTCTCCGCCCAGAGAAAATGTGGTCTCCAACCCATTGTTCCTTCGACAAACACCATCTGAACCAACCCAGAAAGCCATTAATTGTGAATCATGTGGTTCTTCAACATCTTCAGAAGAAGATGAAAGAGAAGAAGAAAAAACGGAGAGAGAAGAGGAAGAAAAAGGTTTTGGGTATTTCTATATGCAAGTGCCACCACCATCAATGCCATCTCCACAGAGGGATTTTGGGTGGGATTTCTTTAACCCTTTCGACAGCGTGAGACCGGAGATTATAAGTGGGTATAATCACAACTCTGATGAGGATTTGAGGGCAGTGAGGGAAGAAGAGGGGATTCCAGAGTTGGAAGAGGAAGGGGAGAGAATGGAGGAAGAGAAAAAGGCGGTGATGGTGAGTGAAGGGAGTGAAAATGTTGAGCATGAAGAGAGTGAAAATGTTGATGGTAGGGTAATGGATGGTGTTGTGAACCATGGGGAGCAGAAGGGTATAACAGTAATTAACTCACCAGTGAAAGGGAGAGAGTTGTTGGAAGCGTTGAAGGATATTGAGGATCATTTCATTAGGGCTTGTGATTCTGGCAAGAATGTATCAAGAATGTTGGAGGTAAATAGGGTTCAATTGCAATCTGGTTTGGAGGAAATAAAAGGTGGGTATTTTTCTTTTCTTCTAATTTTATTTATTTATATTTCTTGGTCTGCTTGAATATAATTTTCAATTAGCATCCAATTATTTTAGGTTTTATTTTGTTTCCATATGTTTGCTTTGCATGGATCTTGTTTTGGGCTGCAATGTAATTTCTGTGAATGTTCATCTCAATATTACAGTTCTCTCCTAAATCTGAAGATTTTTTGGGTTGAATTTTGACTATATATGAGCTTATTTCACTTGCATTGTAGAATATAACCAAGCTGAATAAGAATTTCTGTATGAGCTTATTTCACTTGCATTGTAGAATATAACCAAGCTGAATAAGAATTTCTGTAACTTTCTACTTATTTCAGTAAGGAAAATGAGTAGGACCCCGAGGATGATGCACCCCTTTGACCCCCTCTCTCTCTCTCTCTGATTGGTCAGTTTTTTTTCTTTTTTTTTTCTTTTTTTTTTCCTCCTCTAATCACCAGCCGCCAGCTGTGTGTGGGGGTGGTGATTGGAGGGGTTTCAATCACTTTCCTTTCAGTAATTATAGTGTTTGGGCCTATTCTGTTAAATTCATTCAAAAAGATTGAGTTTTTTTTTTTGGTTGCTAATTTGGGCATGAATCTTCTTCCTATGCCTTCTCGGTTTTGGGGCTTTTAAGCAATTATGCAGTTCCTAAAAAAATTTCCTTTGTGAATTTCCTTTATTTTTTTATTAAGCTCTGCATCCATCATAGTGACTTCTTTTCGGCTTTATCTGATATGGTGGGTCTTTGCCTGTTGCTTCATGAAAAGAAAGTTTGTATCTTTCTGTTTTTCTCCGAATAATATTCTACTGCCTTAACTTTGTCGGTTTGTATGTAATAATGCCGATGAAGTTCCAAAATTTAACTTTTCTTTTTGCTATCTAATATTACTTTAGAGTCTCAATTGTTGGTCTCATATGACTCTCATCCACATTATTGTTCCTCTTTGTTCTTTCTCCCTTGGTGACTCTTCGAAAATGTCATGAGAATTATTGAGGAATAATGACTTGCACCAACCACCACTAGCCGGTTTGGTGCAGCTTCTTGCAAGCTTATAATAAAAAAAAACATAAGGTAAAAGTATCCCTCTCTTAGCTTTCTAATTATTAACTTTTCAACTTAGTTAAATTGTTTTTTGACACAAGAACAACATGCCTGGCAATTTACTCGTACACTTATTCCAACATAATCTGTATGAGCTGTTTTTTGGCTCATTTTGTTTTATTTTGGCATTGGTGTTGGGCATTGTTGTTGTTTTAGCTTGTATCACGACTACGTCTCTTTTCTCAATCCCTAACGAAGATTCTTATATAGTGGCCTTCGACATCATCCTTTATTGCCCAAAAAAGAGCATCATTTATCGGATACTATTCCCTCTGCCTTATTTATATGTGGTCCTGAGATTCACTTTTTCAGCCTGATGATTATTAGATTCGGAGATTGAGCTATGAGTTTTTTCCTACATTCTTTTTTGTGCTTTTCTTTTGTACTTTTAAGCACTTTTTCTTGCATAATTTTCCTTTACCAATCTTATCTTGATGCAGAGAACTCGACAAAGCTCATCCAAGCCATCACATGGCGGTCCACTTTGTCTCGAACCTCTTCATCATGTAAAAGTCTTGTGGCATCTAGTTCTAAAAGCTCTTCGACATGGACGGAATTTAGCAACGATCTCTTTGATGATTATGGAGGAATGGAATCTGGAAGCCATTCTCTGACACTAGGAAGGCTATATGCTTGGGAAAAGAAGCTTTATGAAGAGGTTAAGGTAAACCATTGTTACAACATCATGGATGTTTCAATCTAAAGTAAAGTAACACAAGAAGCCAAAAGTCACATTAATTATCAGCTATATTACCTGTTAATTAAACACTTTCAAATAGAACCTTCACGCATTCACTAGGGATATATCTAATGAAGAAAAAGCTAGTCCTTGCTATTACTTAAAAATTGTCAAACATCTAACTTAGTTCCGACGTCCACATTATGATTTCCTTTCTGCTCCCTGGTTGGTAACTATGCTACTTGGCCGTGCTGATTAAAGAGATCCATGTGTGTGGGTAAAACAAACTTATAACACATCTATCTCAAGCAAAGAAAGAAAACAGCTAAATCTTGTATAGAAAGCCCATTAAACTAGAATCATAAATTGTATATCAGTTCAACAGTTCAAAAAGAACACGTCCACGATATATTTGCAGTCACCAAAGGAGTGTAGCAGACTGCAGACCTCAATACTTACAAGGTAAACGTGTCTGGTTTGTAGACTCATTAAAAATATAAACTATAATCACAAAAAATTTGAGAAGAGTATCGTGTTTTTGAAAAGAGAGAAGTGCATCTAGTTGATCATGAGATGGATATGGGAAGTTGAATTGTCTAAATACGGCTATGGGGGCAATACTTCCCATGTGGACTCACTTTGTGTTTTCCATGTCCATTATGTGTTATTTAAGGCATAAAAAATAAACAAAAAGGTGAATATTCCTTCAAAAGATATTGTTTATACTATTTTCTTTCGGAACTTGACTTGTACACTTACTTGCTCCGTAGGCTGGAGATAGTACCCGGAAAATTTATGATAGAAAGTGCAATCAACTAGGAAATCAGGATGCTAGAGGCGATGATGGACTTGCTGTGGACAAAACCCGAGCTGCGGTAAAAGATTTATATAGCAGGATCTTGGTTGCAATTCGAAGTGCTGAATCAATCTCGAATAAAATTGAGAAACTGAGGGATGAAGAATTGCAACCCCAAATTATGGAATTGTTACAAGGGTATGGAAATCTCACAACCGAGCATAAGACCGTTTTAGTCTATGTTTAGATCATGGATTTGAGTAGGAATTTGTGGAGGGAAAGGAAAAAGGGAATGGACATGTGGCAAAAATAAAAGAAAAGGAAGGGAAAAGTCTATATTCCTGTCTCTTTTCGTTTGTCTCCACAAATCCTAGATCTAAACACAGCTTTGTTGTTCTTCCTGGTTTTTCCATGCATTACTGCCCACTTTCCCCTTTTGCAGGCTGATGAGAACCTGGAAAGTTATGTTGGAATCTCATGAAATCCAGAACAAGATTATGTTTGAAGTCAAATCATATACCCGTCCCACTTATGGAAAATTCTGCAATAACTCTCACCTACTTGCTACGCTACAGCTTGAGGCTGAGCTTCAGAATTGGCGAGCACGCTTCATAGATTACATTGCAGCACAAAAGGTGTATATTGAAGCTCTCCATGGATGGCTATCAAAGTTTGTCATCCCCGAAGTTGAATTCTGCTCTAGGAGGAGGAGTTCATCGCCGCTCTGTCGAGTCAATGGCCCACCATTGCTTTTGATCTGCCGCGATTGGTTAGCTTCCATGGAAAAGTTGCCGGATAAGACGGTAGCATTTTCAATGAAAAGCTTTGGAAAGGATTTACGAGCTTTAGGGGTTCAGGTCCTGAGATTCACTTTTTCAGCCTGATGATTATTAGATTCGGAGATTGAGCTATGAGTTTTCAGCAGGGGGAGGAACAACAACAGAAGAGGAAAGTCGATGGTATGGCCAAAGAACTCGATAGAAAGATTTTAGCGTTCCAAAAGGCAGAGAACAAGATTTTTGAATCAAAGCTTTCAGACCATAATTCAGAGCCAGACATTGAGCACCGGGCTGAGTGTTTGAAAGAAAAGAAGGATTTGTTGGATGGTTTTAGGAGGAGGGTTGACGTAGAGAAGGAGAAACACCACAACTGCATGCAAGAAACACAACGGATCACACTGAATGGATTTCAGACCGGGTTTTATGGAGTCTTCGAGTCCTTGACAGAGTTTTCCAAGGCATCTCTGAAAATGTATGACGACCTTTTGAACACTGAAAAAGCTGTGAAACCGGGATACGTTGAGGGCTTTCAAGGCAAAGAAAATGGCAGCACGTGAAATGGAAAACTAGTCTAAGGTACTTCAAGATTTTAAGGTTTGAGGGTTCTGAAGTTGTTGTACATTACATATTGTGTCGAAGCTGCTCGCTGAGACAGACATTTATTTACATTTGTAGTTTGGATTTCTTTGCAGTGATTGATGAATCATTGCATTAAGTTGTTTATTATGTAGATGTAATGGTAGCCCCCATTTTGTGTGAGAGATTTGTAAATTCCCTTACTTCTTACAACCTTGTTTGGCAAAAATCCCAAGAGGCTGTGTAGAGGGGAATATTGAGGTGGGCAATCTTGTAAGTAGTTGTTTGTTGTGTTGAAAATAAGAAAACCTCTAGAAAACTGTATTTTATTAGCTTCCTCTGAACATGTGCAATCCGTACATGTCTGCATGTTTTTCTGGACCAATACAGTGATATTCCTATAACCAACTGTTAGGATCAAAGACACCCAGAGAATTATCTCACACACACAGAGAACACAATATTTACGTGGTTCGGCCCAATGCCTACATCCACGGACAGAAATGAGAATTATCACTAAAATGGAGCAAAAATACAAATACAGAGGAGGAGATAAAACTCACTCAACTCACAGCTCTTGGTATCAGAGCTGTGCAATACAGTGATATTCCTATAACCAAACTGGGAAAAAGATAGGTAATTCTAACCCTAATTCTCCCTGACGGTTTCTTCGTTCTCTTCATTCGTGAGCACTTAAAGATTATTGTGCAAAAATAGAATGCCAAGTGAAGCATCGGACTAGTTTTGGCCAGCATTATTGCGGTGCTAAATTCATAGCTGCTCTTCCACTAGAATATAGCTTCATCAGTTGATCTCCATTGTCTGTGATGAAATTTTCCTACCATGCAAGGAATCATCAAGACACGTGAAACCCAACATCTCATGGCCAAGGTTATCTCAGCTGTTATATTTTCGCTGGTATGTTAAAAATTGACCCTTCTTAACCAAGATCGGTGAGATATAAAATAATAAACAAGTAAAAAATAAAGAATCAAACAAATTACACACAAGAATTTACGTGATTCACGCCAGGATTACGTCCACGACTATTACGGTTTTCACTATGATAAGAAAATATATAACTCTCTTTTAACCTAAAAGAAGCACTTTCTCATCTATTTGTAAGTATAAAATTAAAATTACACGGAAGCAACATGAAAATTACAAAGGTATTCAAAAAAAATTGGCCAGGAATGTAAACCCCCCTGTCCCTGGGGAGGAGGCTCTCCCGAACCCCCCATTAGATCTAGTATCTGAGTGAACAGTAGGATTGAGTGAACAACACTTATCAGGTCCACCAACCCAACATGGTAGTGGTGGCAATAATAGTTGCATATAGGCTTGTTTTAAGGAATGGGCAATCACTTTCATGGCAGCTAAAGCGTTGAAGGTACAAGATACTCTGCTCCTAAAGTTTTGTATACGTATTGAAATTTCTGTATTTTAAAATTCTTGCCATATTATGTGGCTGAGAGTACATTGGGGACAGAATCCCTAGCTAGAAATGATAAAGAAGATGGCTGTGCTGCTTTTCAAGATCCACGAGCTGGCAACAACAGCAACTAAAACAAAAAACAAAAGAAGAGGAAAAAGAATCCTTGGAGTTGGCAAATCACCCGTCTTCTTAGCTGGGCAATATACCAAAATTCTCAAGCCATGAATCATCACCTACGCTATTCTTATGAAACTCGGCACAAGATTATGACAATTGATAAATTAGTCTAAACATTCAAAACCAACAAGAACCAATGGCCACTAGGCTGATGATATAAACAGGTAGGCCACGTGCGTCAAAAGAGTGAATAGAGACTACTTCCATCACGTTTACCTCTATGACCAAGACCAGAGGAGAGTCCTTTTTTTCTAAAGATTTCAACAGTGTTATTTTTTCTTTTTACGACCTTGCTCTTGAAGAAATTGAAGGGAGAAAATATGACCTTCCCCAGAGTCAAAAAGTAGGGACGATACTGGTGCCACTGAATTCAAGTATAAAAGCTATACATATCAACTAACCCATAAAAGCAACTTTCTTGAATGGATTGAATTCTACAACATTCCATTTATACAATATATGTGATGATACACATTTGAAGGATACACAATTATGATCATGCAAATGAATAATTACAGGACTAGTGATTCGAGTCATGATCACAATTTTCACTTATCCTATCTCACGTACAACGAAACCAAAAATTGAGAGAAGAGTATAAATTCACTAACTACAACAGCAGGGGAGTGTATGCCAAAAAATGGGACAATATCCACCTGCAACCAGTTCTCAACCACTGAACCCACCACAGCACCAGCTACAAGTCCCCCTATGGTAATTAAAGTTGCCTTCCCTGCAAAAAACAAAATAAAACCACTTTGAAATAATTCATATAGTTAAGTTTGTGACATGCACTAATTTGAAAGAGCAAGAATGATAGGTATAAATCAATATCAACATCCTAAATTGACGGGTAATTTTGATAGAGGAGCAACCTTACTTGATAGCATTTACATGTGAAACTATTATTAAAAAGCCAAAATGGTTTGCTCAATCTTAGATTGTGCCTATATTGCCACAAAGGACTAAAATTGGAAGCACCAGCACAAACTCATTATCAAATTCATCTTACAGCAACCACAAGTGAACCATCTCATCTCAAACTTTAGCCCCCTCACATATGGCTAGCCTCTCCTCCATTATCAGTAGGCTAAACATGCACAAGTATTATAATAATCTATTAGGTTGTGAGGTTTGAACACATGATATATTGTCTCTATTGTTTGTTCTGATTCCATGTCAAATTGTTAACAATTATGTCATCTAAAAAGCATTAGTTATAGAGAGGGTCAACTTAATTATTTATATCCTCCACAAATTGTTCCACAGCCCAAGCAATTTTTCTAAACTAACCAAGAGTAAACTTTGTTAAATAACACAATCTCTAAAATAATTTTGTAAGATATACTAATTATTTGGAAAATTCAATGTAGATGTTCTCTTCCTCCAACAAAATCAACATACTTGTTCTTTGTAAGAAGAGCATTTTCACTTCTTCCATTATCAGAAATATTTTTTTTCTTTATTTTTTTTAAAGGAAGTTGATAAACATCACGGGAATGCTTGAGGTACAGAAGTGTATGAGATCAGGCATAGACATAAATCCTCATCAATGATGTAGCATAACAGACTTTATAAGACAGTGCAGCACTACCAGCAACATCTAAGTGACATACAGCTTAACCTCCACAACTTGATACAAATGAAACAAGATTGGTTTGCACACTACAATAAATAGAAACTAGCAATAATATCTTGCGTATTACCATAAAAAACAATTGAATCCCCTCAACAGACCAACACTCCCCCCTTCCACAGTGGGTGTGTGCATGCGTGAGAGCCAGCCCCAGTGGCTACACTTGGAAGTACACAATCATTTGGCAAACATGGTGTCATATGCTAACGTAGACATTAAGTAAAAATATAAAAAAGCAAATAACATAAAGTATGATAATTTACCAAATTAAACCATAACAGGATGATGGGAAGCAACAGAATTGATTATGCATGATAAAGAATCAACTTGAATAAGCAAGTGCAGTGCTTATATTTAACATTTACCATGTAAAAATAACAATATAAGGTAACGAGACTTCCTCTAAATCAAGAAAATGCAAAACCAAGGGAAAATATTAATAATAAATAAATAAATAAATAAAAGGAAAAGAAAGCAACCAAAAAAGGTAAAACAATTGAAGACAAAAATCCCTTTGAATCTCAGTAAATGTAAACTTATGAAACAAAAAGTCAACTTGATTGAAACCCTCCTTACCTAACTTAACGTTCTTTCTAGTCATGAAGTATAAGGATGCACCAAAACTAGTGGCCAAGATCAGACCAGGAACATCAGCACCAGTAGAGGGCACTGTGGAAGATGTAGAAGCTCCACTGACGTAATTTAAGACCATTAGGGCTCCATATACACCTGCTTGTATGCCCAAGTCACCAGTATTTGGCATTTCAAATGAAACAGGTGAATTCTTAACCGTTGCTTGCAGCCACTGAGGCATTGATCCCATCCCGGGAGCTTTTACAGGTTTAACATCAGCATAACGGATGCTGCTATTAACAACTTTGCCAGCTCGACGCTGTGACAAGCTTTGCAAAAGCAACATATCATATGCAGCCTCTACCTGAAAACAGCTATATACCATATTACTCCATAGAAGTTAATGATAAGGAAAATATAAAGTCATGTTAATGATACAACTACATGTGATATCATGGTAAGCATGGTAAATCTGTAGGAATTAAAGCATATGGTTAAATGCCACATGGAAGTCTACCTCATCCAAAATTGCCTCAATGAAGCTACGCAAAGAAGCATGTGCACGGGGGTGCATGCACACACACACACACACAATCAGGTGGTCGGTTGCTGTGAAGCACGTGTACAGTATGGGTACGATATGGGGTACGTCAACACGGTAAAAAAGCCCAACACTCCGTCCCATACAACATAGCTGGTCTAATAGCCGTTCTATAAAACTTACCTTTGAGTCTAGTAGGTATTCGTTTATCGCACAATACCCCAAAAATTAATTAAATGGTTTAATTTGTTAAGGTCCAACCTATAATTAACATTTAGGCCTAGTTTGGGAAGACTAAATAAGTGCACTTTTTGACTTTTTATAAAATATGGGTTGGGTTTGGGTTGGGTTTGAAGTGATGTGTGAGAGGTGATGTGACTTAAATAAGATGCTGTGACTTAAATAAGATAGTGACTTTTTGACTTTTTGTCTTTTTTCAATCATGCCAAACTTGGCCTTAATGCCAAAAGTAAATGTATAAATCAAAATTAAATGTCACATATTAAATAACTTACAAAACATAGTTTAATTTTAAAATCATGATGAACATAAAACAAAAAATAAAGAAGAAGTCTAGTGAAAAGAGTTTTTATCTTTGTAGTAGATGAAAATATTGTTTCAACTGAGTTACAGTATGGCTTGGGTATATATTAGGTACGTCTAGATACGTCAAAAATTAAGAAGAAAAAACTTGGACACGTGTTTCATGTACCCAGCACGTATGCAGAAGTACCATACGCAAGGTTTTAAAAAGCGACTGCAACCATTACGTAACGTCGTTACGTAACAGTTTTGGTGGTTATCGCCACCCGTTACGGCCGCTTTTGCAGTGTGATTGAGATTCACAGATGTGTCGGTCGTAGCGGCTGCTGTAGCGGTCGTAACGGTGCCGTAACAGCCATAACGGCCTGTTACGCACCGTTACGTAATGGTTCTGAACTATTTCTTTCGAAAAAACACACAAAAAAAAGATGAAAATGGGAGAAGAGGGATAGAGAGAAGAGGAAAGATAAAGAGAGAAAATGCAGGAGCAAGAGATAGAGAGAGAGAAGAGGGAAGATGAAGAACATGTCATTAATTTGTTGAAACTTGTTAGTAATATTGATAGAGAGAGAAAGAGAATAAATTGTATTATTGATGGATATCTTGATGTATTACAAGATTGATTGATATTGTGTTATGTATTACAACTCCTATATATAGAAGAGAAGGTGGTAGTAGGTGTAGTGTAGTGGAGGTGGTAGGTGAAGTGGGTGCTAGTGAATAATAATAATAATAATAATAATAATAATAATAATAAGTGTGATCATTATCTATTTGGCTTGATTAAAATATATATATATATATTTAGGCTCTTATTTATTCTCTTACTTTTGTTATTATTTATCTTATATATAATAGTTAGCGATTGATTTTTTGTATAATATAAAATCATTAATTATTAAAATAAAATGTAAAAAACTCAGTTTATAGTAATTAAAAATATGAAATATATTAGATTATACTTAAAATTTTACAAAAATTGATCAATATTTATTTTAAACCCAATAAATATGATTATGGAAATAAAATATACTTATCGGTAAGTTTTTTTCAAATTGTACGAAAAATAAAAAAATTCACGGTTCCGGTTACCGCAACCGTTACGTTGCGGCCTTTACACTCCGCAACCGCAACCACGCCACCGCCACCGTTACGGCGACCGCAACCGCTTTTCAGAACCTTGACCATACGAGATACTATACACCGGTAAATACTTAGTACATGTACAACATGTTTTTCGAAATACCCATACTTCATAGGTTGGTTGAAAGTGGGTTCTCTAACTAACCAGACGGTCACTGGCTGGTTTTTTTAGTAGTCTGTTCCTTACAGTCACCTTTTACTTTTCTACCAAGTAGATTATCCTAATACAAAGATGAGAAAATTTGATAATCCTATAAAAGTAACTTCTTGATGGGATCAATTCAATATAGAAACTAAGGAGGTAAATCAATATGCAATAACTTATCAACCTCTTGTGGAAATTATCTCAAGAAAAGTTGTAATCTTACACAAAAAGTTAAATAGAAAACCACACCAAAGATTTGGGAGTTTCCTTTTATGAAGTTATGTCATGGGAAATTACTTATCCAAAAAAATAATAAAATATTGTGAGAAAAGAATTCCTTATTTCTCATGCAACAATAAATTTTATCTAAGCTATATGAAAAGGTATTCATCCCAAGAAGATTTGCCAAAGTGGATCATTACAATTCATTGTAACATTTAACTTCCACCGACTGAACAAAATGAGCCGCTCAATCACTGTTCACCACTGGTGGGCAATACTGTTGCTATAAAGCAATCACGATACACATTTTAAGCATTCCCATCACCTTGGTCCTCTCTGTCATTAAACACTAGACTCTTCCATGACATCAGCAATGAATTCATGGTGTTAAGCGCCCTCACAAACAAATTGTTTGAGGATGCTGCAATTACTTTTGAGTTCTATTCTCAATTACATAGTTGTTTTGCAATAAAAAAACCCTAAGGGTTTGTTTGATTAGTAAGATTAATAGTAAGGGGATTAACAATCTATGAGCCGGATTAGTGAGATACATAATTTCCTCTTATCCATGCTTGTTTTACAATATATATGAAAATATATAATCACAATAATACATATGCTTTGCGTTATTAGTTGTATAATTAAAAAATCTGTCAATTTTGTTAAATAGAATGGCAATTGGAATCTAATTTGACAAATAAAACTTGCAACCAAGCAATGGAACATAAGTCCATGCATCAATAATCTCAATCCTCTACTACAATCCGTCCAATCAAACAATCCCTAAACTCACCAACCCAGATAGAAATCAGCTTTTCTACTCAAGTTTAAGTTCAAAAACTATTGTACACCCTCACAAATCACAAAACATAGTTCAAGTTCACGTTTTTCTCTACAAATTCAACTACAAGTACAATAAACAACTATTACTCTGAAACGCATAAACAAAAAGTCAAATTTTTCCATGCAGAAACCCCGAAAATCACACAAATCAGATTAACATCCAATCTCAGAACAAGATTCCAATTTTCTACACTAAAATTACTCTCAAATTCACAAAACTGAAAGAAACCAGACCTGAGATATTGTCTCTTGGTCGTCCTTACAAGCAGCGATAATCGAATTCTTGGCTCGAAGAATATCATCGAAAGAAGCCCCCTCCGAGACACCGAGAAGCTTCAGAGCGTTCTCCACGGACATCTCGAACGGGGCAGAGTCGTCGGCTCTGGAAGAACCGGCGAGGAGGACCGTCGGAAATGCGCGGCGGAGGGGGGCGGAGACCACCCCCAACCACCACCGGTCGGACTTGATCATCGTCGCTATCCTCCCAATCTGACCTAGCTCAGGCCGCCGTGACCGGACCGGACCGGCCGGTTCCCGGCCGAGGAGGGCGCAGTTGGGCCGGACCGAGAGAGTGGTGGCCATTTTGTTGGTTTGCGTGGAAATGTGAGGATTGGTTTGGGTTTGGTTTGGTTTCTGTGTCTGTGTTTGTGCGTTCAGTGTCAACTTTTTAATCAATTTTATGAAGATGACGTCATGTTTGGTGATAAGAGTAACAGAAGAGAGAGGAGAGGAGGTGAGGTGAGGTGAGGTGGTGTGTTTTGCAGCACTGTGTGTTCCTTGGTTGTGGATCGTCCGATGGAATGGTGGCCAAATATATATATATATGGTCCAAAAATATGCATTTCGTAATATTTTGATTTTTAAAACATATGTTTTGTTGCATTTTAATTTTCAAAAAATATGAAATAATCAAATAGAATATTAGTGCAAAATTTCTATATGGGATGAGTTCAAATCTTGTGATTTTTTTTTTTAATTTTAATAAAAGCACTTACTATTATCCTTATAATTTTATAAATGCCATTTTAAATGTGTTTTTTTGTATATAAATTTTTTCATTTTTTCATCTTTGTATTTTTTATTTTTTTTTGTGGCAAATCTGGGATAAAGTTATGATATTGTCTCTTATTTTGTTATTAATTTTGAATATTATTGATGGGTCGTTTTACACACTAAAATAAAATTTTCAAAATAATGACAAGTCTAGGTATTGATTCACAAAAACAAATGTGAAATTAAACCAATTTAATTGTTAAATTTTTAAAGTAATTTTGATAACAAGATTGACAGTTCATAGAACTAAGAATAATTAAAATAAAACTAAGAAATTGAATTGGCAATTAAAATTAAAAGTTTGAGATACTGATTTTGGAAAAATACTAGGACAATGAATTTACCACTAGTTACATAAATAAGGTTTAAAATTGAAATTCAATTGTGCTATGGTTTGAACCACCCAATACGTCACAACTATGAACTTGAGGTATTGATCAAGAAGATTATCGCATTCAACATATAGACACGAACTATCTTGAGTAGTACAAGTCGTTCGCTTTAAACTAGGGTTCCAATACGACTCGTCTCTCGTAGTATGACTCGTCTCATACTTTAATAAAAGATAATCATTGCATTGAAAGTATTTAACAATTACATAAAATAGAATACTTGAAGAGAATAATGAAAAACATATTTAAAACTTCTTAAACACCATATAACTTGTTCAAACCATTCCAACAATCAAAGACCTAAGAAAAACCCTATTTACTTGGTTAGGGTTTCATTAACACCTTAGAAACTGGAGAACTAGCCACTCATGAAAAAATTGAAAGAAGTAGAGGGAGAAGAAGCCACCATGGGAGTCATTCTTCAAACTTCAAGTTCTTTCTCTTCAAATCCTAATCTCTCTCTTCATTTGAAAAATATTAGAACCCTGTTTTAGCCCTTTTTTTTTTTTCTCTTTCTTTCTTCCTTTTATACTTCACAACCTTTAAAACAGGTTTAAAACGTTGCGCACGCAAGTCAAGGTACAACTGTGTGTGTAGAAAATGTCACCGCACGTGCTGATTTTGTAGTTTCTATTTGGCTTCAGGTAGTTGGGCCGCACGTGCGGGAATGGCCCCTTGCACATGCAGGAGAGGCTTTCTGGCTAAAATTTTGTGTTTTTACTTATTTTGTGGTTCAACCACATTCAACGTAATTGACGTTAAACAGAAGTAAAATGTACAAATTGAATGAACAATAATGTTAAGAAGTCTTAATTATTGGCCTTAGTGATATATAATTCGGCCTCAACCAGTTACCAATATTAGAGATTAAAGTGTAATAGTTCGTAAAATTTTAGATTAAAGTAGGACAATTACAAATTTAACAACTAAAGTGACCGTATAGTTTGAGAATCATAATTATATATTGAAATACATAAGAAATTATAGTAAATTGGTAACCAACGTACAAGATCGTGTGAATTGTCAATCAATTATTTAATAAACACTAATGTAACACTACTTAGAATTACAACATGACTTGGATTGGATCAATTATTGTTGAAATTTTTTTGGGTTAGATATGTGAACTGAATATAGGCCCAAGTGGATGAGCAAAATTGAGGCCTGTAGAGGATCAGAAATTAAACCCCAAACTAAGTATGGACCCAAGAACTAAGATCGCCCTGAGAAGGTGACTAGGGATAAAAAAAGGAGCATGGGCCAAAGCCCAAGGGTAGTGGGCCAACAAGTGGGCCGAGGCAGGTCCGACCCACCAAGGCTCCAAATAGACTTAGCGAGGAGAAAAGCCTAAGTCAAGTTGCAGAGGCAACACCTGCAGCGGTGAAATTGCGGAGGGAACATGTGTAGCGGCAGAGTTGCTGAGGCACTTTGCCTCAGTGCTACCATTCCTATTAACTTCGGTTTCGCCACCAGTTGAAGCTGCCAACTGAACATGTGTAGTGGTAGAGTTGTTAAGGCACTCTACCTTAGTGCCGCCATTCCTATTAACTTCAGTTCCACCGCCAGTTGAAATTGCCAAGGGAACATGTACAATGGCAGAGTTGCTGAGGCACTTTGCCTCAACGCCGCCATTTCTATTAACTTCGGTTCCACTGCCAATTGAAGTTGCCAAGGGAACATGTGCGGCGGCAGAGTTGCTGAGGTACTTTGTCTCAGCACCGCCATTCCAAGTATCTTCGATGCCGCCGCCATTCCAAGTAATATCGGTGTCACGATTATTTGGAGTTGCCAAAGGAAAGAGAAGATCGAGGCAACTAATTTGCAGAGACAATACTTGCAGCGTCCAAGTTGCGGAGGCTTTCTTCCAGCACCACCATCTCTAATATCTTCGGTCCTGCTGTCTGAACTTGTTGTGGGAAATGACTAGCGCTACAACTACTAGCGCTGCAACTATTACCGTAACAACTAAGTTGCAGAGGGAATAGCCTACCAAGGCGATAGCAGCCTTCGAGAGAGGCTTTCCTCTGTAAGTAGAGGCTAATGCTTGGCGCCGATAATAGGCCCCAAGGTATTACTAGCCTAGGGTTGATAGTAGGCCCTACAGTTTATTAACTTGGCGCTAATAGCAGGCCCCAAGACTTACTAGTTAGAGCTGATAGCAGGCCCAGAAATACCAGTTCACCGCGGTAACCCCGCGAAGATGGAAGTAGGGTAGCCCGAACATAAAGGACTCCCTTTCCATTACCCAGGTCATGGACCTGCCTTAGTCGAACAGGCAGGACTAAGGAAGCCCCCTTGGGCTTGGTACTAAGGCGCAGCATGGCTGATAGCAAGCTTGGCTGTGGTCTTTATCTTGGGAAGCTGGGGAGTTTGTGGTTAGGTGGCTAAGGGTAGAGGCTTCATTGAGGTGGGCACGAACATAGTTGATAGCAGACTAATGAAGTCCAGAGAATGCATGTACTGGCAAAACAAAACTGAGAAGACAAGTACAGCGACGAGGTTCACCGCTGCAAGTGCACTTGCTAAGATTCAAGCTGAGAAGGCAAGTGTAGAGGCAAACACTCCCGCCGCAACTGCGCTTGCTAAAGCTCAAAAGGGAATTGCAGCGCTAAACACTCCCGCCGCAACTACACTTGGCGAGGCTCACAAAGGTAGTTGCGGAGGCAAACAGATAGTACACAGTACATGCAGAGGAACACGTGGCACCTTCAACCAGGTGGCTCAAGGTAGAATATTCTATGTGATCCTCTAGGACACATGTCTTCTCTCTATTTGGCCACTTGGTGTCCTCTTGGTACCAAGGAAAAACTTATAAATAGGACCCATTTCCCAAGGTTCAAAGAAGAGGAATTTTGGGGATTTGGGGGAGATGCTGTCCAATTTGGTACTGCTATACACTTCTCCTTGAGCTATTCGTTTCACCCTTACCCAGTTACATACTCTCAAACTCCCATACTGTTGCTGCTACTCATTCTTCAGCCACTTCTGCCATTATTGGACCATTAACATAGTTTTGTCTCTCTAATCACCTCTCTGACCTCGAACCCCCCTACATTTCTAGCGACTCTACTAGGAAGGCTGCTTTGTTGATGGTTCATACCTGCAGTGGTTTACACACTTCACTGGAAAAGATGGCAGAGGATGAAGTTAAGTAACTCTCACGGCAGCAAGGATCTTCCAATGGCGAAACAACACATGCAGAGGACCATGACAACAATGTTGTAATTGAGGCAGTTCAATCACTCCAGGATACACAGAGAGAGATCTTGGTAGCCCTGCAAACTCTCACTGAGGCCATTATGGCCATGGCTTTTAGACCAGCTCCAGTGTAAGCACCTTCGCCTGTAGCAGTCCCAAACCTAGTGTCTAACTCGTTCCCTGAGGTTCGGGCTTCGATCCAGGTGCTTCTAGTGGTACCTCAGGCGCACTGTACAGCCGCTGGTTCAGCTACCCAGGAGCAGACTGGACCATTCCAGCCCACTCAATTTGTTACTCTAGCCAATGTACAAGTTATGCTCAAGCAAGAGCGCAACAAGAAGTAATTGCCATCTTTCCCAGACCCAGATGTGAAGCCCCTATACTCTCAGGAAATTGTAGACACCCCATTTTTGACCGACCTTAAAACTCAGACGTCACCAACTAAGCCCTCGGTAATGTTGTATATTGTGCTCGTTCTGAGGTTGCAAAGTCTCGGCTGAGAGCCTTGCCTCCAGGCTTCGGAACTTTTTCGTGCCTTGCCTCAGTTTGCGAACCAGGTCCCGTTTTCTCTGTTTTCTCTTCCTGAAGAGAGGGAGAGGTCTCATAGATCATCTCTCAGTGGCTGTAAGTTACGTTTCGTGGTCGTAGGCCATTTTTCCCGTTTGGAGACCAATTTTTGATTTTTCGGAGCCATCGGTTGTGTGCCTCGGTTCGGGATCGCTTAACTACCTCTGTTTGCTCTGATTTTTGGCACACACCTTGTTTCCTCTCCTTAGAGGGACACTGTGGCCCGGGAGACCACCTTTGTGGTCGCACGCCACCTTTGATGCTTAACAGCCAGTTTTCGGGGCACCCAGCTGCGCATTTTGGCCCCCGAACCCTCGTTTTGCATCAGTTAGGGTTCATTTTTGGCATGGACCCTAGCTTCATTGTTAGAAATGTGGCAGTATGGTGGGAGACCACCTTTTCTTCTTGGAGACTGTAATAACCCTCATACTGTTTACCGATTAATGACTGATTAACTGCTAATTACTGTTAACCGAGACTGATTATGACTAATAATTGAAC